CAGTGGCTCACGCCTGTAATCCCAGCACTTTGGGAGGCCAAGGTGGGCGGATCACCTGAGGTCAGGAGTTCGAGACCAGCCTGACCAACATGGAGAAACCCCATCTCTACTAAAAATACAAAATTAGCCAGGCGTGGTGGTGCATGCCTGTAGTCCCAGCTACTTGGGTGGCTGAGGCAGGAGAATCGCTTCAACCCAGAAGGCTGAGGTGGTTGTGAGCTGAGATCACGCCATTGCACTCCAGACTGGGTAACAAGAGTGAAACTCTGTCTCAAAAACAAAAATAAAATAAATAAATAAAATGAGAATAAAGCTGCGATTGGTTTCTAAAAAGTGCAATTACTCATTTTAGATAAGAGAAGGATAATCAGTACTTTGTGGGTTGCATGGTGATCTTGTATGTGCCTCACTTTGTGATGGTCTCAGAGTGACCTTGTCTGATGCTGATGTTTTCTGAAATTGTTTTTGTACAATAGGAGAACAATATGGCCTAGCTGTTAGTGCCAGACAAGTTTCTGGATGGCAGGGGCTGCTGCTTTTTTTTTTTTTCTCAGTTGAAAAGTAAAAAAGGGAGAAACTCTGCTCTTCTTACAGAGATTCAAATCTGCATTTCTCTTGATTGCCCACAAGGGACAGATGGAAAAAAAATAATAGCAGAAAGTATGCATGATGTACCTTGGGAAAGGATGGTCCCTACAGATCCCCTAGACTTGGTGGAAGTCTTGGGGCAAACCAAAATGAAATTAAGACTATAAGTCTCAATATATAATGAAAAGCCTTGAGAAGGAACGATCTTTATGTCACAGGAACTTTGTAATAAATCCATTGGGAAATAATTACTTACATTTCCAAATAAGTAAAGAAATAGACGATAATAGGCACTGGTCCCGTAGGAGTAGGGATTCTGACTCACTCTCTGTAGGAATTTTCTTATATAGAATTGACCTACTATGACCCTCAATTCCCATACACTATCCCCCCGACATATTGATATCTACAACCCTTGTGGGATTGTGAATGAAGACATTTATATTACACTGATGTAGGTGCAATTAAAGAAAATTGGATCTATTGAGCACCTGTCCAATGAATCTAATATTTCAAAGACAGAAAGAGAAAAAGGACAACCACTCTCATTCCTGGGCTAACTCAGTTCCACTGGCTCCCAGACAACTAAAATCTTCAGGACAAAACCAAACTTTATGTCTGGTCTGGTCATGGAAGAAAGTTTAGAAATGTAAGAACATCTCTTCTCACCCCCACCCCAGCCATGTCCCTGACTAGAGGAAGAAAGTTTCAGCACCTCTGGAGTGGCAGTGATATGTTCCAACACATCCTCTGTGATTGGAATATAACTGGCTCTTACCACGTATGTTTCGTACACTTATGATCCAAACAGAAAAAAAAAAAATGTATGCCCAAGTATATGTTACAAATATGCCAAAGCAGAATATGAAAGCTTTCATAACTCTGAATTAGGGCTGGCCACTTGTCAAGAGAAGCAACAAACTCCCTCGTTGCTTCAAAGTTCCACTGTTTTCAATGAAGAGGCAGGCAGGAACTTGCCCTTGGAGATAGACCATGCTATAATTGGAATAAAAGTTATTATAAATGTGCTAAAGTATGAAACTTAATGGGTGAGTGTTTCATAAATACTCTCAAGTTAGTAACTTTGCTTTTTACTCCCACTACAACACAATTTTAGTAATTACGCTTGAGAGATTTAAAGTGAGGAGATATAATTATGACAGTACTTGTGTTATTCTGGGTCCTCCAAGAAGCAAATCCAAGAGAGGATCAGATATGCAAGAGATTTATTCAAGGAAATGCCTGTGAGAGAAAATGTGGAGGGAGCCAGAGGAGGCCGGGAGAGCCACCATTAGACTGCAATGTAGGTTTAACCCTTGGGAAGGAGAGAGCAAAGGAAAGAAAGGCTTCCACTGAAGTACAGGTCTCAGAGAGTTTCTTTCAGGATCATGAGGAGTCCTTGAGCCAAACTCACCCATCAGGAGAGTCTCATGTTTTCCAGGAATGGGCCTGCCTTAGGATCCTCACTACATTTAATCACCAGCCTGGAGAAGCCCTTGGCAGCATGGCCTTGGCGCCAAGGATTCCAGAGCACACCAGCTGGGGCCAGCTGGCAATTTCATACCCACCCCCTGCAGCTGGACATCCGAGAGGAACATTTTCATCGCCACCACAGGACTCATTCTTAAAGCAGCTGTAGACACCTGTTCTGGATCATCTTAAATAGTGACTTAGTAAACCTCCCCAGTGACTCATAACAGTAAATGTCCATAGGTGGATTCATCCATCTCTGTTCCTAAATTAGAGTGTGGCTAATTCTTTCCAGATTCTTAAGGTCCTTAAAAGAAAGAATATATGGTACCACATTAAGTTAAGCTCATGACTGAAAATAATTTAAGAAGGAAGCCAGTGACTATTAATACTAGCCCACAATTAGAAGGCACATGTATGAGTTATCCCTGCATTTGGCGTAGTGATAAACTGCAATTACTGCAGCAATTTCTCTCTATTTGACAAAACATGGACTGATGTACCACTGGTAAAAATAATATTTCTGATTTCTGTTTGCCTCTTGTATATGCTGGACAATGAAGTATAATATTGTTTATGTATATTTATTTTGTATAACCCAGAAAGAGTCTGTCATGGAAGCACAAAAAGTATGAGTTAGCCTGCCTGACTTAAGCAAATATAGATCTACCCTTGGAACTGGAGATGACTTCATTGTTCCCTGAATCTCATAAGGGAGAAATGGATTATCTGATTAAAAAAAAAAAAAAACAGATTTGGTTAGAAAGGACAATAGGAGTAGTGTAAGGAATAGATGTTGAGGAGGCAACCACAGTGTTTACTAAATGGTGCTTTCAAAAAATCTTCCTCCAAACTGTAGAATGGAATCCAAACTCCCTAGTATGGCAGCCAAAGTTCCTCTAAACCGCGCCCAAACTTCTCTTTAGAGCTAGCACTATGCAAGTTCTGCTAACAAGTTTCAGTCACTATGAATATTTTGTCTTTCTCAAATTAAGCCTTTCACATTCATATCTCCGTGCTTTCGAATATTATACAGTCTCACGTTGTAATACCTTCCACTCTTATCTTCCCACAAATATACATTTTTCTAAGCTGAATTGCTGTGTCACCTTCTCTGCACATTCTTCTCTAATCCTTTCATCAGAAATAATTGCTGCTTCTTTTATGTGCCTTTGCACCTAATTTGTAGCCAATTTTGGTATAGTTGTTTTCATGTCTTTTTTCCTCTCTAGATTTACTGACCACAATAGCATTTCTGTCTCCCAGAGTGCCTCACAGAATAAGTCCAGTAAGGAGATGTTGACTTTCACTGAATGGCTTCTGTTTTCTCCCAAGTCAAAGGAAAGATCTGGGGCCTGCACCTTTGCATAAGCAATAACCATTTCGAAGCTTATCCAACCTGCCTTATTTTTGTTGTTGTTGTTGTTCTGTTTTGTTTTATTTTAGACTTCTAGCAGCCTGAACTCATGGTTTTTAGTTTCTGTCTCTAGTGAAAGGAGAAAAAAGGGATGAGGAAAGGGTTTTACTCACCCAACCAGAAACAGAAACTAAGAACCCATGACTGTATTCTCTGTCAGACACCGTTTAGGCAGAACGTAAATGCTGGTCTCTTTCTCTCTTTCTTTTCTTTTCTTTTCCTTTCTTTTCCTTTCCTTTCCTTTCCTCTCTCTTTCTCTCTTTCTCTCTCTCTTTCTCTCTCTCTCTCTTTCTCTCTTTCTTTCTTTTCTCTTTTTTTAATAAGCCGTTATGTCAATCCTGTGTTGTTAGGTTCCATTCCTCAGGCAGCTCCTGCTCCCAAATGGCAGGTACTTTCTGCTCTCTGACCCTGGAAAATCACCTTTGTTTAAAGCCCTTTCTTCTATTAGAGCAACACCAAAACACTCTCAGGAGTTAATTTCGAACAATAGTGGTGCTTTACCATGAGGAGTGAGGTTGATGGCTGGAGTGCAGTGGCATGATCTCTGCTGACTGCAACCTCCGCCTCCCGGGTTCAAGCAATTCTCCTGCCTCAGCCTCCCGAGTAGCTGGGACCGGCTAATTTTTGTATTTTTAGGAGACGGGATTTCACCATGGTGGCCAGGCTGGTCACGAACTCCTGACCTCAGGTGATCCACCCGCCTCGGCCTCCCAAAGTGCTGGGATTATAGGCGTGAGCCCCCGCACCCGGCCCTGAGTCAGCTTTTAACGTGCAACTTTACTGACCCACTTTTTTGATGTCCATCTCCCACTTCAACTCCCAAAGGTCTGTTGTTCCCTGATATGAAGCCTAAGAACTCAACGTACTTCACCACACGCTGCATTTCTAACGAATTATTCCAAATTCTGGCAAGTCTTATCCACACCTTCTTTTCTGTGTAAGTTTCTCCTTGCTATTTGTTTCTGAAACCTGAATGTATTTGGTCCTCTGCCAATCAGATTTCCACTAGTCCTCCAAAGAGTCAGTTATTAACTGACTAATTCGACAGATATTTTTGGACGTTCACTGTATCCTTATTTATTTAGCATATATTTAGTTATTTATTAAGAAACTAAAGCCTATTCTATGTTAGAAATGAAAATAGGCCATGAGGACCCAGTGGTGGGCAAAATGCAGACAGACTACTCTTTTTTCCCTCATTCTAGCATAGTCATCACTTTCCTAGGAAAGACGTTCCTAACCTCCAGACTCCACCAAATCCTCCTCCTGACCACACCCTCCCACCTTGATTTTCACCTTCTGACCTCTCTTGTGTAGAAATTCGAGCAGAGCCACTCTATAGCTTTAGCTTAATTTCTCCAGCCATGCAAGGACGAATCTATGTTAGTGATGCCACAGGCACGTTTCCTTCCCAGCAAGAATATCACTTACTGGGCAGCATTTCTGTGGATACTACCAGAGAAAAATGTCCTCCTAGTTGAGCACCCGCCCCATGGCCGTAAGCATCCACCTGGCTCGAAGTGCATGGCCCGCCGCTGACCACTAGGGGGCAGCCCTCCACGCAGAGGCTCGAGCGACGGGGGCGACGCAGCGGCCACCGGCTCTGCCGAGCCCACCCCAGAATCAGAAGGAAGGGAGCCTGATTCCACGCGGGGCCTCCCCCGTGGCATACGTTGTTGTTAGGCAACTATTCGCCCCGAATATGGTTTATTGGAGACTTAGGGTTTGCTTTTCTTATCAAGTGCGACAGCAACCTGGCTGGGTCGCCTCTCGCATTCAAGAACCCGCAGAGACTCTGGGGGAGCCGGTTTGAGGCCCCATGCAGGCCAAAGCATCCCTCCGAGAAGGCGGGGTCGCTTACCTGGTAGGTGCCCCGAGAGCCCGCAGCACGGCCCGAGGTGGGGTCCACCGATGGAACGGGAGACCACGGGCGTGGCTCAGGGCGCGGTAACCACTCCCCGGGCCCGCCTCAGGGACGGCTCCGCCTCACCCCAGCCTGTGCCCCGCCTCCGGGACAGCCCAGTTTCCGAGACCTCCCAACCTCCGAGACAGCTCCGCCCCCAGAACAGCCTGGCCTCCAGGACGGGCCCGCCTACGGTACAACCCGCCTCCGGGACAGCAGGGCTGCACCTCCGAGACAGCTCCGTACCCAGGGACGGCCCCGCCTCCGAGACGGCCCTGCCTCCAGCACGGCCCCCACCTCCGAGACCGCCCCGCCTCCGACACGTCCCCAGCGCACCACTGCAGAGCCAGTCCATCCGTCCCCAGGGATCCGCACTGCTCAGGGGTGAGTTTTCCAATCCGAGCGGGTCCTGGGTGGGGGCGGTGGCTGAGCACCTAGGGCACTGGGAGTCGCCGCAAAGTGCTAGAGGCCCCAGGCCATTCCCGGCGTCAGGGGGTGTCCCTCCCTTCTTAGGTCGAGGTCTGGTTTCATTTCGTTTTGTTAGTCTGGTGCTATTTGCAATTTGTCTCAAAACACATTTCTCCCTCCTATTTGAACTTGTAAATTATGAATTTAACAAAGATGTGCATGGTGTGTGCATGCACGAGGACACATGTCCTTGCGGAATGCTGGGTCAGCTTTCCGGGACATATTACTCATCTGAGGTTTTTTTGTCTGTTTTTGTTTATCCTGTCAAACTGGTTCTGCCTCAGAAGTGAAAGACGTCGCTTGTCTTTTGGAAAGTAACTAGCAAGATCTTGAGCTCAGGCTTCCGGATCTCTCTCTCGGCTGCTTTTTTTTTTCCACTGGTAACTTCTAAGGCTGAGATCATGTACCCGCATTCTCAGTGCTCTGCCGAGTATTGGCTCTCTTTTGTGAATTTCTTTCCCTCGAGCATTAAGAAAAAGGTGGTGGATAGGAAAGGAAGAGGGGAAGAGATAGAATTCTACAGGAAATGCAGGGCATGCTCAGAATGCCAACCTTTCTGAGCTTGAAGAGATTTCGTGGAAGAAAGTAGCAGGGAAAACGTCCAGTAATCACTGGCATGCCAGACCCTGGAGAAGTCAGGCTGAGGCGCTCTGCAAGTTTCACCTTAGAGAGAGTGGACGAAATGTAACGGTTCTTGTTAGAGTTCTTGTAGAGGACGACTGTAGATGAGAATACATCCCGGGGACTAAAACCAGATTGGTTTAGTCTAGAATGATTGCCAACTAAAGGGACTGATGTTTGAGAGCGATGGTGAGAGATTAACAAAATGAGGTGGTTGACTGCATACGGGAACAGGAGGAAGAGAGGAAGGAGGCACGTGTGGCTCAATGGCTTGGTGTGTGTTTTAGTTTAGATTCTCCCCTAAAGCAAAGCCTTATGCAAGGGCTTACCTGCAGGTGATTTTTTTGCGGTAAGGGAGACCAACAAGCCCAAATGAGGAAGTGGAGAGAATGAGACAAGGAAAAAGGGACAGCTGGGAGGGGCATGTGGCTGAGGGTCTTCCACGTGGTGCTCCGTTCCTTTGGGAGCCTTCCCAGGATCTCTGTGATGGGTGCCTCTGGAAAGCCATGGGGCACTTTTCTATGACTCCCTGCTCTACTGGGCGAAGCTCACCCTGATGTCAACTCACTGCTACTTCAGGGCTGCCCTGTGCATCTGCAGAGGTGAGAAGCCATCTGAACACACAGGAAAGTCCCTCACAGTGGGCTCCTCCGAGATGCGCGTAGGGAGGTGACACAGGCAGTCAGGGGACTACTGCAGGACTGCAATCTACAACACTGTCCTCATCCATCCGGGAAACTAGAAAGGACAGCAAAGGGACAGACACTCTCGTTTATTCCTTGCCCACTGTGTGTGTACCAACTCCAGACAAGGCATTTTTAGCCGTATTCTTTGTTTTGTTTTGTTTTATTCTATTCTATTCTGTTCTATTCTATTCTATTCTATTCTATTCTATTCTATTCTATTCTATTCTATTTTTTGAGGCAGAGTCTTGCTCTTTTGCCCAGGCTAGAGTCCAGTGGTGCGATATCGGCTCACTGCAACCTCCACTCTCGCCAGGGTTCAAGAAATTCTCGTGACTCGGCTTCCTGAGTAGCTGGGATTAGAGGCACACACCACCATACCCAGCTATATTTTGTAGATTTAGTAGAGACGGGTTTCGCCATGTTGGCCAGGCTGGTCTCAAAATCCTGAGCTCAGGTGATCCACCCGCGTCAGCCTCCTAATGTGCTGGGATTACAGGCATAAGCCACCGTGCCTGGCCTATCCGTATTCCTTTAATCTTCAAAAACAATCTTCCCAGGGCTGTATTATTCTCTTTTTGTAGATGGAGAAACTGAGGCTGAAGTCATTTATCCAAGAGGATCTGCTTAAAGGGAAAAATAGGCTCAGTTTTAGGCACAGCAGATCTTAAAAGACCTCCGGAAACTGCAGAATGCTACCAAATAGAGGGAGACCCTCTCCATTAGGGCAGACTTTATAAATTGGGGGGCACTTTCCAACTTATCAGAGCTGTCAGAAGAAATGCATGTTTTGACAGGTCTATGACCTTTCTGTTCAAAAAGATCAGCTACCGTGTCAACTCAGGCTCACGAACTTAACTACCACCTGGATCTACCAGCCCCGCAGGATCTAGCCCCTCCCTCCCTCCTCCTAGGGTCCTGCTCTTCCCTGCCTCTGGCTCTCAGCCACCCCAAAGTGGTCTCTTTGCTGGAATGCTCTTTGTTCACTGCATTTCAAGTTCCAGCTTCAATGCCAGTTTCTCAGAGGCCTTTCCTATCACCCCATCTAAAATAATCTTCCAGTTCCTCCATATCACATCATCATGTTTTTATTTTCATCATAGTGATTGCTGCATTTTATTTATCTTTCTATCTACCTATTTATTCTTCTTTCTTTCTCCTTCTAAAATATTCAGCTCACAAAAAGGGAAACCTTATCTGTTTTGTTTCTTGCTGTACTCCCAGTGCTAGCACACTGCTTGGCCCACAGTAGAGAATCCAGTAAAATTTGGAGGTGCATGCATTCAGTTGTTTGCTTTTTTCAGCTGTTCCTTCGTCTGTTCTGAGCAGCAGTGCATATCAGTGTCTCTTAAATACATGAAGATCTTTGCTTCCCCTTGCAGCAGCTGATAGAACCATGGCGACCACTGCCGCTGCTGCGTTCGAGGCCCTCATGGATGGAGTGACATGCTGGGATGTCCCCAGAGACCCCGTCCCCAGTGAACTCCTTCTTATTGGAGAGGCTGCCTTCCCCGTGATGGTGAATGACAAGGGCCAGGTGCTCATTGCTGCCTCCTCCTACGGCCAAGGCCGCCTCGTGGTTGTGTCCCATGAGGGCTACCTGTTGCATGCGGGCTTGGCTCCATTTCTCCTCAATGCAGTGAGCTGGCTGTGTCCCTGCCCTGGGGCTCCCATGGGAGTGCATCCATCCCTGGCACCTCTAGTAAACATCCTGCAGGATGCTGGGCTTGAGGCACAGGTCAAGCCAGAACCAGGAGAGCCCCTAGGGGTTTACTGCATCAATGCCTACAATGACACCATGACTGCAACACTGATCCAGTTTGTGAAACACGGAGGGGGCTTGTTAATCGGGGGCCAGGCCTGGTACTGGGCCAGCCAGCACGGCCCTGAGAAGGTGCTCTCCAGGTTCCCCGGGAACAAGGTGACAAGTGTGGCCGGAGTGTACTTCACCGACACCTATGGGGACAGAGACCGGTTCAAGGTCTCTAAGAAGGTGCCCAAGATCCCACTCCATGTCAGGTGAGTGTCGCTTCCCCTCTTAGGGAGTCTGACTCAGGGTAAACAATAGAGTTGGTTCCCCTCCTCACCGAGCTTCCATTTTTCAATACAGGTGATTTTCCACCCAGTTTGGAACCACCACAAATCAAAAGCAGGATGATTAAAAGGCACCAAGACACAAGAGAGGCTGGGCCCTCACTGCCACTCCCTCCTGTGGCCAAAGCTGAATAGAAAAGCTTGTCTTACTACTCTATCTCCATGTCTAGTGCATAGAACATAGATAGTGCTCATCGGTACCTCTTAAATGCATGAAAGAATAGTTGTTTGTTTGCATGAGCACCTACTGTTGGTCACGCCTCATTCTGGATAATGGGGGTCTAGCAGAGATCAAGGCAGGCAAATCATGCCATCATGAGGTTTGTATTCCAGGGAAGAGATAGGCAATTAAGGAAACTAATATATATGTGCTCTGTCAGGCATTGCTAAGATCCATGAAGGATAATAATATAAGTGGATAGCATGACAACTGGAAGGCTGATGGAGGCTATTTTATTTAAGGTGTTCATGGAGGTCCTATCAGTCAGGCCAAGTTGGATTGGTCAGGATTTGTTGGCATTGCTAGCAGAAGGGATTTAGTGTGGGGAATTGACTATACCCATGATAGAGGAGCTGAAAATACACACAGGGGACAGCAAGAAACCCAGAGATCAGCAACAGCAGAACCAGCAGAGGGAGATGGTGGTATTACTGCAGTCCGGGTGCTGCGGCCACCTGGTAGAAGCTGAAGCCATGCTACGCCTTCCCAGCAGGAGCTGGAACACAGATGCAAGGTCTGTCTGCTGGGAGCTGGAGTCTCAGAGAAGACACTGTGGTTACCAGAAATACAGCCTGAAGAGAGAAGCAAACACTTAGCCTCCTTCCCTCTTCCTTCCTGATTTCAGTCTTCTACCTCTGCCTCCCATGGGCTGAACCCACCAGGATCCAGGGAACAGGGGAGCCACAGAAATGCAGTTTTCTGCAACACAGAGGATGACCAAGATGAAAGGGGAATGGAGATGAGTACAAACAAGCCCATGGCTAGCTTGGAAGGCTGGTCTGGTAGGTGACACTTGCAAGGAGACCTCAAGGAAGTGAGGGAATGAACCATATGGGCATCTGTGAGAGGAAGATTCCAGGCAGAGTGAGGAGCGAGTGTGAAAACCTGGAAGGGAAGCCTGCTTGGTACGTTCCAAGGGAAAGGGAGTGGCCCTTCTGTAACGTCAGAAGGCTCTGCAAAGCCCCGGGGGAGAATAGCTGAGGCAGCTGTTCTGTGACCCTGAGGCAGAGGGCAAGGAGTAGGTACAAGTGAGTGTAGGGGAATTTGTCTTGATCAAACTTGTTTGAAGTTGTACAGGAGCTGACATTTGAACATCTGCACACATGGTGTTCTCTGAATGAGGAACAATAAATGTTAGTCATTTACGGATTGTGTAGGCTGCAGGCTTTCGGTATTATGCCTGCAGTAAATAAAAGCAAGCAGCTTCAGCTTCTTGGAGCTACTCTCTGGCCACTAGAGCCAGGCAGTCACTTAGCTGTTCTTACACTGCATACCTGTGTCTGAGCACTCATTTCATCCATCAGCCAGGGACAAACCTGGCAATCAAGGAAGCCAGAATGATGGGAGCTCAGTGAATGACAGCTCAGGTCATGTAAGAACTGACAGGCCAGGAGTAGAACTTTAGATCTTATTTGCAGTGAGATGGGAAGGCATTTTGTATTTTCTACAGAAGATTGCTATGATGTGACTTAAATTTCAAAAGGAACCCTGTGATTGATGGTGGAGAACAGACTGTGGGAGGCAAAGGTGGAAGTAGCAGACCAATCAGGAGGCCACTGAGATAGACCACAGAAGAGATGGTGGTGGCCCAGACAAGGCTGGTAGAAGCTGTGGAGCTACTGAGAACAGGTTCCCTTCTGGAAACACCTCAAAGGGGGAACCCAACAGGCTTGGCTGATGGATTGAGTAAGGAGAAAGAGGATTTGAGACTTTTGGTCTGAAAAAGACAAAAAATTAAACACAGGTGCTGCTGTTTAGTGATCTTGAAAGGACAATGAGAAGATGGATTAGAGGAGATCAGGAGTTTCATTTTGGATGTTTTGGGTTTCAGATATTAGTGACTACTTACTTATGTTTGCCCACGTGTAGCAGAAGCCTTAGTATAGCAGATTAACCATGTAGCTATTTATTTTTTCTATGAAACATGAAGTACGGGTAGGTAGTCCAACTCTGGGGCAGTGACTCCATGACGTCCCATGGTCGGTCTCTGTCTCCCTATCACTGCCTGCCCCTGTCATGGTGTGTTATTTTATCCTTATGGCTACAAGATTGCCACTACTACCCCGGGCACCATAATTACACCCATGCAATAATAAATTGGAATGGATACACCTACTTTAAGTTTATACAATCATATATTTTCTGGAAGTCCTAGACTTCTATTTATATTTTAGTGGCCAGCCTAGTTAAATCAGTAGTTCCTAACCTTTTGCTCCCAGGGACCTGTTTTGTAGAAGATAATTTTTCCATGGACCCGGCAGGGGTTTCAGGATAATTCAAGTGCATTGCATTTATTATCCACTTTATTTCTATTATTAGTACATTGTAATATATAATGAAATAATTATACAACCCACCATAATGTAGAATCAGTGGGAGCCCTGACTTCCAGACCTAACTACCAGAAGGTCTGAAGGGTTGGCTATTTTTAAATGGGCGCTGGCGTCTCTGAAGAAATCAAGATTCTGTAGAAAGAAGAAGGGGCATTCAGATACTAGTGAGCAGCTGGCAGTGCCCCGAACCCCCAGCCCCGAACTCTGGACCTCTTTGAATTCCTTCCCTTCTGAGAGATTTGGGGAGGGGATGAGTTTTTTCAGAGACATTAGAGTGGATCTGATTCACTTCAACTTTTTTATTCTAACACTAAGGAGGGACAAACAGGTGAAATCTCATCACCATAATGCCTCTTAATTGCCCCAAGGGACTCTCCTATTTAGCTAACTCAACCTGCTTTTCTTCATCTATACCTACATTTTTAATCCCTGCCACCAATTCTCAGGTATATTGTGTGTGTTTGTTATTCTAACTCTTAATTACTGAAAACGTTAAACATATGCAAAAGTAGACAGAAGAGTACAATGAACCCCCATGTAGCCATTCCCCATCCCCAAAATAGTCAACTCCAGTTCTATCTTATTTCACCCATAGCCCCACTCTTCCCCACCCAAGATTATTTTGAAGCAAACAGCAGACATCATGTCTTTTCATCTGTAAGTATTTAAATATACATCTCTAAAGGTATGAAGTATTTTGAAAACATAAATGCAAGTCACCATTATCACACCTAAAAGAATAATTCTTTAGCATCATCATTTATTTCCATGATTGTCTTATTTTTTAAAATTTGTTAATGTTGGGCCAGGCGTGGTGGCTCACGCTTTTAATTCCAGTACTTTGGGAGGCCAAGGTAGGTGGATCACTTGAGGTCAGGAGTTTGGGACCAGACTGGTCAACATAGCAATACTCTACTAAAAATACCAAAATTGGCTGAGTGTTGTGGTGCACGCCTGCGGTCCTAGCTATTCGCGAGGTTGAAGTTGGAGAATCACATGAACCCGAGAGGTGGAGGTTGCAGTGAGCCGAGATCGTGCCATTGGACTCCAACCTGGGCAACAGAGTGAGACTCTGTCTCAAAAAAAAAATATGTTGACATTGACATTTAAATAAAGCCCAGATATTCTGATTTCCTGATACAAATTTTTTATCTCTTTTAAGATACACTTTTCCTTTCCAACTTTCTGTTTCTTGCAGTTTTGTTGCTATTGTTGAAGACACCAGCTACTCCTTATCAGTCTCCTTCAGTCTGGACTTTGAAAGTAGACCTCAAGGAAGTCAGGGAATGAGCCATGAGGGCATCTGTGAGAGGAGGATTCCAGGCAGAGTGAGGAGCAATGGTGAAAACCTGGAAAGGCAAATTCATTGCCTTCCTATGGTATCATTTAAAACAGGGGTGCCAGTCTATGGCCTATGAGGAACCAGACCACACAGCAGAATGTGAGCAGTGGGTGAGCAAACAAAGCTTCATCTGTATTCACAGCTGCTCCCCATCGCTTGCATTACCACCTAAGCTCCGCCTCCTGTTAGATCAGTGGCAGCATTAGAGTCTCATAGGGACACGAACCATGTTGCAAATTGCTCATGCAAAGGGTCTAGGTAGTGTGCTCCTTATTGAGAATCTAATGCCTGATGATCTGTCACTGTCTCCCATCACCCACACATGGGGCCATCTAGTTGCAGGAAAGCAAGCTCAGGGCTCCCACTGATTCTACATAATGGTGGGTTGTATAGTTAGTTCATTATATATTACAATGTACTAATAATAGAAAAAAGTGCACCATAAATGTAACACACTTGAATTATCCTGAAGCCCCTGCCAGGTCCATGGAAAAATTGTCTTCTATAAACATGTCCCTGGTACCAAAAGGTCAGGGACCACTGATTTAACGTATTCATCTTTTCCTTGTATTTTCTGTATAATACAAATTAAAAGTTAGATCTCGATTTTAGGTCAGGATTGACAAACTTAGACCAGCCCCTGTTTTTGTGAATGAAGTGTTGTTAGAGCACAGCCATGCCCATTCATTCACAAACTGTGACTGCTTTCAATCTCCAGTGTTTACCATTGTTGAGTAGTTTTAGCAGAAACCACGTGACCCATATTTGTCTAACATATTTGTCAGGCCTTTTAAGGAAAACTTTCCTAACTCCTAATCTAGAGGTTTGATCAGATTCATGTTTGAATTTTTGACCTACTTTATAGGTGGTAGTATGCACTTCCATTGGATAGAACACAGTGGTCTAATTTTCTCTCTTACTGTGAGGTTGGCAGTCCTTAATAACCATTGCTTAGCCCTAGACCCATTAATTTGTGTTTATAAAATGATGACTTTAAAATTTTAATATTCTTTTTATTTATTTGGAATAG